CGCCCTACACACATGCACGGCCGGAAAAACTGAACTGAAAATCCAACTGAACGAAACATTTAAACCAATTTCCAACTAATTTCCAAACAGAAGGGAGCAAGGCATGCATCGTTTCCTGGTCAGATAGGTCACGTACAGTGCAGTATTACACACAGCTGTAGGTCCGATGTGGACAGGCATGTATGTTCCCCTCAGACATATGGAAATTCCCACTCTTTTCCACCATCTTTTACTCTGCTGCTATTGTCATTCTCAAATGGCTTCCACATTACACCCCTGTAATCAAACTGTAGGATTCATACTGCTCATTATTCAATTTGCCAAATGCTACAATCACATCCTGATGGCTAAAATAATTAGTGTAAAATGGTTACCCGGCTGGCAAAGTGGATCTGCAGTTCAAGGTGAATAGAATATCCAATTGTACCAAATGTAATTTTTTCAAGGCTAATTTGGTGGCTAATGAGGCTGCTCTAGTTTGGGTAATTTATGGACGAGTGGAAGGTAAAAAAGGCCAGAATGAGAGAGAATAGAGAGTTAACAAAGAATTTCCTCTCTCCCTCTGCTCATTCTCTCCATCAATGGAGGTTTCTATAAGACACAAAACAGGATCATGAAACTGACAAACTGAGAATGCGAAATCACAGGTCACTACGGTTTCATATAATATTCATTGTTCCTACTTTTACACACTTCGATATCTATGCTGTGACATCTATCTTCACGTTTCAACAGAGCACAAAACAAACCCATTCATTTTATCCATACAAAAAGATTTGTGATTTAACTTACATTGAAATTATTTACATTGTAACATTTTATGATTCAATTATGTAATTTGTCATAAAGAATTTAAGCACACAGCACCTTTGTCTTTTTCTGACTTTGAGGTAGTTTCTTGCTTTGAATCAAATGTCATAATGTTATGATTCATCTCAGACCTGGTTGTTTTCAAGGACTCTTTATACAATTTCTTGAAAATGCCTGCTGGAGAAAAGAAATGGGAATAAAAAAAAAACTTAGGAAGGAATTGGAATAAAATACCTACAGAAACGAGGCTGCGGAAAAAAAGTCAGTGGTCACTTTTGCACTCTATAAGAAAGTACTGAAGCCAGTACAGTTTCATGCTTGAAATCCCCAAAACAGGGCTGGGAATCACTAAAAACAGTTTTGTAATGGCTAATGAGGCTGCTCTAGTTTGGGTAATTTATGGACGAGTGGAAGGTGAAAAAGGCCAGAATGAGAGAGAATAGAGAGTTAACAAAGAATTTCCTCTCTCCCTCTGCTCATTCTCTCCATCAATGGAGGTTTCTATAAGACACAAAACAGGATCATGAAACTGACAAACTGAGAATGCGAAATCACAGGTCACTACGGTTTCATATAATATTCATTGTTCCTACTTTTACACACTTCGATATCTATGCTGTGACATCTATCTTCACGTTTCAACAGAGCACAAAACAAACCCATTCATTTTATCCATACAAAAAGATTTGTGATTTAACTTACATTGAAATTATTTACATTGTAACATTTTATGATTCAATTATGTAATTTGTCATAAAGAATTTAAGCACACAGCACCTTTGTCTTTTTCTGACTTTGAGGTAGTTTCTTGCTTTGAATCAAATGTCATAATGTTATGATTCATCTCAGACCTGGTTGTTTGGTTCAAGGACTCTTTATACAATTTCTTGAAAATGCCTGCTGGAGAAAAGAAATGGGAATAAAAAAAAAAACTTAGGAAGGAATTGGAATAAAATACCTACAGAAACGAGGCTGCAGAAAAAAAGTCAGTGGTCACTTTTGCACTCTATAAGAAAGTACTGAAGCCAGTACAGTTTCATGCTTGAAATCCCCAAAACAGGGCTGGGAATCACTAAAAACAGTTTTGTAATGGCTCTGGGTGGTAAGCTAAATATGGGTAACCTTCCCTCAACTGTTTCAACAGTTCCCATGGCAATTGGAAACTTGGCGTGGGCCACCACACACGTTGGTGATACCTGTAAGCAGAATGAGAAACAAAGTTCGCAGCTGTCAAAGTGTTCATTCTGGATTTTTTGTGGTAATTATGCCACTGCAGGTAAAGTGAGGCTGAGTAAAACTTCTGAAATGTGAGCACAGGGGAATAAATTTAATACACAATAAAAAAAGAAACCATGATGTTGTCTTAACCGGATGTTTACAAGCAAAATGTTGTCAAATAAATAAAGCACAGACCATATGTCATCACAGAGCATTCAAGGGCAATCCCGCTTACGGAACCAATTTTGATGGATTGTCAGTGAAATCTCTACTCTGCAGCTCCCGTGCAGGGGGTGATGCGTGAAAGCCCTTCACCTGTGCTGCGTAGGAGGTGGCGGCCGGCTGAAAGCCTACATTTACCCACTTTGGTGTAATTGCAGCATTTACTCTTTGATTGCCTAAGAGCTCCATTCATACTCACTCCTGCCTCGTTGGATGAGAGCTTCTGCAGTGGGGTTGATTGCTTTACAATGGCAGATCAAAATATTAGAGTGATCCCTCTGAGCAGTCACAGTAAGCGTTTGACTAACAGTTATTATTACGCTGTCTGTCAGTGTAATAATAAAGGAAGCTAAATTGTTCAATGGGGGGAAAATGAGCTGGTTCATGCTCTTCTAATAATTACCAATTTGCTGCTTGCTTTCTAGATTTTGATACTAAAGGCCTCAAGCTATAAAAAACACATCTGACTAGAAGGCCGAAGTCATGGCAGTAAAAGCACATCTTGAAATTCTGCTGTAACTCCCATTAAAATCAGTATTACGCAGCATGTAAAATACCTGAATCATTTCTCCACATGTCAGTTTACTCACATCGGCCAAACCCTAGATTTATAGTGAGAAATTGCTTGTCTATATAATGTACATAATTACATTTTAAAACAAATTTAGTTAAAAGCATGTTCTGATATCCTTTCGCCCCATTCTCTGGGAGGTGAAATTATACTAGGAGCTCTTTTGCCAACAAAACAGTTAACATACTATGGTTGGGAACATTCTGAATTTAAAGAACTGATTCCCTTTCAGTTCACGTGTGTGAATTTGAATTCATTTGGCCACAGTGAAATGGAATTTAAATAGGAATGACAGGAGGAGAAATTTACAGAATTGCAATTCAAAGAAACTGAATGTGTAATTTGTGGAAAATTAGGAAAGTTTAGAAGGTTTTGAAAACACTTTAGAATAAGGTTCGATTTGTTAACATGCATTAAGTATTATGTACTAACAATGTATTAATTACTAACTTAATTTCTACACATATTAATACATTTTTATCATACCAAGATGACAAAATGATCATTAATGTATGAAAAACGTGAATTACTAATGAACAATAGGATATTTATAAACTAACATTAACCTAGATTAATACATACTGTAGAAAAGGTTGTTCATTGCTAGCTCATGATAGCTAATGCAATAACTAATGTTAACAAATTGAATTTATTGTAAAGTGTTACCAACAACTTTAAAGTTGTACTCTTTTTTTTTTTTTACTTTTAAGCAAGGCCATCAAGCCAACATTCAAAGTTTATCTTGACAAAATTTGTAATTCGAGTTCCCGTTTGCTAATTCAGTTCAATTTTAAGAAGCAGATTGGAATTCAAAAAGCATTCTCAGTTCAATTCTAAATGACGCACAAGCCCACTGCATACACAAACACATCTGTGAGATACATTCCTTATTGAAGCACAGACGGTCTCATTATTTTTTTTTTATTTGATTATTTGGTTAAATGCAGGCCTTTGGCAGGCTGTTTCTGCACCAGTTGGCCCATGGGCGGATAGTGAAGTTAAGAGGTGCAAACCTTAGTCAAGAGCGGTACTGTGGTGCCGAACGTTCTGCCAACAACCCAACAGTGGTGCCATCACTGACTCAGTCACTGACCCGGAGCCCCCACCTGCATGAGCAACACTTTGAGCTGTAGGACCCAGTGATGTCCATCTCAAGCTGCCCACTAGAGCAGAAGGCCCTTTGACTCACGCCCATCTGGCCTGCTAGCACGTTAGAGTACGCCAAGGTCTGTGAGCACACTGAGAGCAACTTCCCTACCCTTCCCAAGAGGGGACAGTTAACAAATCGGGAGTCCTAAAAGTTTTGGTGAGAAGTAACTTTTTTTTTTCTTGTCAAGACGTCATGTGGTTAACAGAGGCGATGACAAGTCAACATTCCGCCTCCAGGTTTTCCCACATACATACACAAATACACAAACACAAAAGTTCAATGTTGCACCCTGTGTAGGAGTTAAAAAGGATGCACGTTATGTTCTTCATTAATTATTTCCATCTAAACATGTCACGAATCACATGATTTCTGATGATACTGAAAGTCAAAAAAATATATTTGCACCAATATTTTGATTTAGATCAGATATTCATTTATGCATTTAACATTTTACAATCTTTTCTCATGAAATCAGACTTTATAACTAAACACACTACTTTTCAAAAGGTTAGAATAATTAAGGTTTTTTTTTTTTTGAAAGAAGTCTCTTATGCTCACCAAGACTGCAATTATTTAATTAAAAATACAGTAAAAAAAATAATATTGTGAAATATTATAACAATTTAAAATAACTGTTTTCTATTTCGATATATTTTAAAATTTTATTTATTCCTGTGATGGCAAAGCTGAATTTTTAGCAGCCATTACCCGGGTCTAGTGACACATGATCTTTCAGAAATCATTCTAATGTTCTAATATATAATAAAATAGAAAAGTTATTTTAAAAAATAAATAAATAAAAATCTTAATTATTTCACACCAGTAGTGTACTCTCTCAAAAAATAATGAGCAAACATTTTAGGGGTGCAACTTTGTACCTTATTTACCCCTAAAAAGTTCAGTATCCATAATCACAGACCATAAAGCAAATGACACAAATGTGGCCTCACAAACAGCTAGATATATGTAATAGTCAGTGTAAACATTTAAACTTGGTGAAAGCTGATTCCTGATGAAGAGCTGACCGACCTGCCCTGGTTTGATGTCCAGAAACTGCAACACCTCCTTCACCATGACTGGGGTGTGAAAGGGTTTCTCACTTTGGCTTGACATCTCCGAATTTCTGAACTCAGAATCAGGACTTGAAGTCACTGAGCCAGTATAGTGCCTCACTGGATGCCGCAACTTCCTCCAACATCGCCTGAACATTTTGGAGTTGTTGTCAGGAACAACGTCTCCCAAAGTCCGTTTGCAGGGTGCAACCATGAAACGACTACAATATAGAGGCATTTGGGTTCTGCGCAGAATAGAGAACATACAAATGTAGGCTATTAGATATTTCACGAGAATAATACTGACAAGCTATAAAATCCAAGAAGTATCATGTTGTCAAACGTGACATCTATCTTACCTACTTTGTAGGACTCATTAAATGTTTAATTAAAAACTGAGATATTTGAAACTCACACAATACAAACATTAAAAATGCAAATATGGTGTGAACATGTAAAAGTCATAAAAAACTCTTATGTCTCAAACTCTTATGTCTCGGCACTTAACATGGGAAGAGACACAATTAAGGACACGTGCAGGACGCCAGAGGCAGTGTTTGTCTGACCATAGTCAGATTTCAAAGGAAGTGCATGTACTTGTTGGCATGTCTGTCAACACGTTATGCATTTTAAAGACATAAGACTCCGAACACCATATACAGTACATCATAGTCAAAGGTTAGTTCGGAAACATCCAACTTACAATGCAAACCAATAAAACAGCACAGCAGGCTGTGAATTAACAATTAATCGCTATTATTCTAACGGTTAGTCCTTTATTCAGAGTTGTGGTGGAGGTTCTTGAAGTGCAGCTGACTGCTCCCGGAAGAAACAAAAAACGACGATTTTGTGTTCCTCCTGTAACAGGACTAGCATTTCAGATCTGATACAATCGATGTATCTTGGAACATCTTCTTCTTTTCTTTTTTAACAAACCCACTTAAAAGGTGCATAATCTTGGAACATCAATTACTAGCAATCTTGACAGTATTCTGTAGAGATGTTTTACATAGGCTATGTAGAAATATGTGACTAGATGCATATGTGCGACACTTCGGTTTATGTTGTCATTTTATTCGCAATTTTCCCATTAAATGTGTTTTACTCTGTAACATAGTTCAATGATGCATGCCTTTTCTAAAGATATTTAATATTTGTTTAATCCCTGGTCACAACTGTGATAGTCACAGGTAACTTGAGGCTTTGAAACATCATCGGAGATAGTCCTCACTGCAGAACACAAGATCCAGGGGGCGTGGTTGGATCCAGATCCAACTTCTCCCACCTTACCCGTCTCCACCCCCTGATCCCTAAACCCACCCATCTCCACCCCTAAACCTACCAATCTCCACCCCCTAGATGTGGATCCAACCACGCACCCCTGGATCTTGTGTTCTGCATTTAGGGGCTAGAGGGGATCATCGGGGCACATTAAATCCGTGACATATCTGTATAAAATAGTTCAAGCACTCTCTAATTTTGGTCACGTGTGTATTAAGATTAAATATGGCACGTAAATTAAATCCCGCGAAATTACATTCAAAGTGCGCTCATAACAATTATATAACTTAAACCTGCCATATATTACATGGTTTAGGAATTCTATTTTCAAATTAAGAATACATGTTATGCTTTATTCCACCGAGAATTAAATTCTCTATCGCCTAGAGATTCAGTCGTAGCGTCACACGTCCCTTGACGTAAGAATGTGCTCGTCCAATCAGATGCAGGTACACAACAGCTGCTTGTTTTTGAAATCTTCGCGCTTGGGGCTTTGGTTTTGCGTACTATCAGCTGCAATGTTGTCTTTAAAGTTAAAAAAGGGAAATAAAACATTCTCTTAATACCATAGTCAAATCATTCGTCGTGGATTCATATTGTATCAGATGGTAGGTCATGCACATTTTATAGCACTGACTTAATCTTTTGTGATTTAAATGAATGAGATGAGCAGTTAGCTGCTGCTTTTAGCGCGACGCTAACCTAAAGTAGCAGATGCTATTAACTAATACACATAAGAGTTTTAAAGTAAAAAAAAAAAAAAAATTCATCTAACTTCACAGACATATGGGTCTGATGATATAGTCGATTGATGATATAGTGAATGGCCTTTTGTTACTGCGCCGTTACAATAAATTAGCACCGGTTTGCAGGTTTAAGCCATGCCTTACATTAAACCATGTTATGTACAGTCTATAGGAGAATCTTATTGGTTGACATGTAGTATGAGGTTTAACGTGAATTTTATAATTTAAATTCCCCTTCTGTTAGACTTTACTTAAAGGTATCATGCCACAATAAAACAAATCATGCTTTTGCCAGCATAAGCATACCTAAGATAAGGATACCTCTCTCTTGGCATCCAAAATTAATTGAGTAGAGATTGTGAAATAAGTGCCATAGGAAAATATGGCATTATTGTTACTATTTTTAGTTTAGTTTTTTTTAAAACCTATATAAAGAGGTAAACATTTTACCTACAGAAGAATTATTTGGAATATGCCTTGTTTATATATGTCTTGTTTCTAAATTATTCTCTTGTGTTTTATAGATACACAAACCTTAAGGAGCAATTAAGGTTCTTAAGGAACCTTAATGCTGTAAAATAGGACAATGTCAGATGGTGAGGTGTGCAGCCACATAAAAGTGGTGGTCCGTGTCCGGCCTTTAAACAACAAAGAAAAGGATGGAAATCACAAGAGGGTTGTCCACGTTGTTGACAACCACATGCTTATATTTGATCCTAAAGAGGAAGAAGTGACATTTTTCCGGGGACAGCGTGTAGGCAACAGGGATGTGCGGCGCAGAGCCAATAAGGACCTCAAGTTTGTGTTTGACAGTGTTTTTAGGGAGGACTCTTCACAGGTGGAAGTTTTTGAGAACACCACTAAAGCAATAGTGGATGGTGTCCTGAATGGCTACAACTGCACTGGTGAGATATTTTATTTCTCTTCATTGAATTTGAAAATAACTTTCTGTGCCATGTACTTGATTTCAGAAGTGAAACCTAGATTTATTTATTTTGGCCTGACAGTCTTTGTCTTGCTAGAACTTGATGCAAAATGTGAAAGCGTCAGTAACATAAAATTATTTCATGATAAAATATTTAATGAATTAAAGTACCTGGTGCCTTTTTCACATTTTGTTAGTGCTACAAGAGCATGGCCTTTTAATTTGTACTGTGTTTTCCCCCCCCCTCCATTTCACCATGTTAGAGGAATTTTGCATGGTTGGTGTTTTTATTTATCTTGCTAATAATATGGTCATTTATGGATTTTATTGATGCTATTAAAATTTTTGCTACTATTTGATCCTTCTCATGAATATAGGCTGTTCATATAGTTGATGCCATTATGACAGCTGGTATACCCGATAATGATTTTATTCATAAATATGTGTCTGTTTGGCCAGTGTTTGCTTATGGAGCTACAGGAGCAGGAAAAACGCACACAATGTTGGGTAGTAGTGATGCTCCAGGAGTGATGTTTCTCACTGTGAAAGAACTGTTTGCTCGCATGGACCTCATCAAGGAGGACAAAGTGTTTAACATAGCCTTTTCTTATCTTGAGGTGAGGTTTACACATCAATGTGTTTAATTAATTCATTTAATAATTACATTTATTAATTAAGATTTGTTTGTTTTTATGAATACTTTCATAAAAGGGGGGGGTCCTTTACTGATACAGTTCTAAAATTGGGATTTGTAAGATTTTTTAAAAATGCTTTTGAAAGAAGTCTTATGCTTACCAAGGCTGCATTTTTTTGTTTTGTTTTTTATAAAAAAAAATACAGTAAAAAGTAGTATTGTGAAATATTATTACAATTTAAAATATGTTTTCATATATTTTTAAATGTAGTTAATTCCTGTGTTGGCAAAGCTGAATTTTAACAGTTGTGCTGTTTAATATTATTTGTGGAAACTGAGATACATTTTTTTAATGAACAAAAAGTTCAATAGAACAGCATTTATTTGAAAAAAAATTTTGTAACATTGTAAAACACGTAAACCTTCGCTTTTGTTAAATTTAATTAAACCTTGCTGATTAAAATCTTAATTAAAAAGTTCTTAATGACCCCAAACCTTTGAACAGTACTGTGTATGTTTTAAAGGTGCATTCATGGTTATATTTATTTAAAATGTATAGGTTATAATAGTTAAAATTTGACAGTCATCTTAGACACTTAGCAGCATTGATGCAGAAGCACACAAAAACAAAAGATTTCAACTTTAATGCAAATTTTGGAAGTACCTTTTTAATAAGAGAAAAATACTGAGTGCATCTTACAAAAAGTGCTATATTTGTGTTAGTTCTGGTTTATTGTACCTGAAGCACTGTTAGTCAGTCAGCCCGTTTGTGTTTTGAGCAATGGGTTTCTGCACTTTCTCCTGAACAGGTTTATAATGAGCAGATTCGGGATTTGCTAACTAACTCTGGTCCATTAGCGGTGAGAGAGGACAGCTCCAATGGAGTTGTTGTTCAAGGACTCACCTTGCACCAGGTGAAGTTGGGCTGCATATGACATCTGTGCATTTTCTTTGACCGTGATTCATCTCACCACAAAGAATTGTTGTTGATTTGCCTTGTCTGATGGTGTGTGTGTGTGTTATCTCATTACTTTGTAGCCCAAATCTGCAGAGCACATCCTTGAAGCTCTTGATTATGGCAACAGAAACAGGACGCAGCACCCCACTGACATGAATGCCATGTCTTCCCGCTCTCATGCCGTATTCCAGGTACAAGGCTTCTCGCAATCTCGTCTCTTTTCTCTGTAAATATCACACCCGGTTCTGTGTAACTGTTTTTATGCTGCTAGATCTCATTCTGTGTGCGGTCGCCCCCGTGGGGTTTGAGCAACTTTACATTAATCTTCTTGTTTTGATATTGAGCCTGAGCTACCAGTTGACTTGCGTGAATGAACAATTTCCAGGATTTTTTGTGTTTCCTGGAAGATTTGACGAGGCAATAATAAATCACGCTGGTTGGCTTCTCTATTTATTTTATTTCTAGACTCTAAAATGTAGTTCGTTTAAAAGCAATAAAGCTTTAATCATCTCTGCAATCCAACATCTCAGTCATCTATCTATTGATCTGGATGTTTCAGAGTTAACTGCACAGTTCAAACCAGTGTCAGCTGGCTTATAAAGTTGTCAGGCAAAAATATAAATATTCAGTATGACTGAAAGATGTTCTCATGCCATCTTTTTTTTTTTCGTCAGATCTACTTGAGGCAGCAGGA